CATGCAATTTAATTTTTATTTGAAAAGCCAAGAAACAATGTGTAGAGAAATTTATTGTATTCGCTCAGTGAAGGCTTAATATAATTTAAAAATCCAAAAGAATGTCATTTCTTTTTAAATTTCTGTTTAATATTTACTTATTTTTGAGAGAGAGAGAGAGACAGGATGTGAGTGGGTGAGGGGCAGAGAGAGAGGGAGACACAGAATCCCAAGCAGGCTCCAGGCTTCGAGCTGTCAGCACAGAGCCCCACGTGGGGCTCAAACCCACGAACTGTGAGATCACGACCTGACCTGTGAGATCACTTAACCAACTGCGCCACTCAGGCACCCCAAAAGAATGTCATTTCAAAAGATATAAACTATGAAACCTATTAACTCAAAATTCTGGATGTAGATTTAAAAGGTCGCATGGAAGAAAAGGAAGCAAAGTGTCCCTGGTTGAGTGTCTCTTGAGTCTATGTCTGTCGTTCATATTTTCCAAAACTCTGTACTATGAGTGTTGTGGGGTCCCCACAACTGGACCTATTCATTAACGTTAAGAATTTGACAGTTGGGGTGTCAGAGCAGATGACTTCTTTGAAGCCATCTATCATCAAGGACACAAAACATTTTCCTAAATTTCAGATAACAGAAGATACTATTATAACCTTAACATTGGGAAGAGAGGACATTAACCACTTAATTAAACATTATGAAACAAGCATTGTAGTTGGGAAATGGTATAAATAGCAGCAAAACATGAGTATGTCCTCTCGTTGCAGATATGAATACGTACCTAATGAAATGGGGTTTGAAAAATTCAGTTTTTCTTGCCAAATCTGCATTTACACTGCTCTTTTTTCCATCTTGCCGTTTTATCATACCAGTCTCTTATCCAATGCCATATCTACTTCCCCTTGGAAGAGGATGAATGGGATGGTTACCTTAAACTTCTCTTTCAAGCGTTTTCATGAGAGCAGGTTCATAGAAAACTCAGTGCAAACAGAAAGATGATGTAGAATGGAGGAGGGCACGTGTGGGGAGCACTGCGTGTAGGAGACGAGTAGTGACCAGACAAGTTCTTCTTCTGAAACCAATATTGCATGGTACGTTAACTACCTAAAATGTAAATTAAAAAAAATAAAGATGATGTAGAATCAATTTAAACCAGGTAGCATACCTGGAATGATTTGATTAGGGTCTAATTCCCTTTAACTGCAAAGCCAGAAGCCCGATGGCTTATTTTTGTACCTGCATTGGATGATCCAAAGAGGTTAGAATCTAAGCAGAGGGTGTATGTGTGAAGTTATAGCAATTTAAGCCACTGACACGGGAAAAGATGCCGAATTTTCTTTAGCTTTCATCTTCCAATCGTGATTTGCTTTGGGTTTCATACCTGGACAGGCATTGTTTAACCTCCTAGAACCAGACAGATGTTTCCTTGTGGTGAGAGCCCATTTCTACTCTTGGCGCAGTGGTTGGTTCATAGATCTTCGGTCTGCTTCCACAGGAGACCTTTAGGTTAAGACACCCATCAGAGGTACACCATCCAATGCCAAATGGCCATCTTGACACTGTTCAACTGGCTTCGTCAGACACACTTACTCTGCACCGAAGACAGATTTCTCATCAGTTATTATAATCATCTTGTGAATCTATTACGTGATTTCCTGTTAAAGAAGGCAGGGCTGCGAGTGTCTGTGTCCTGCTGCTGGGGACCCATAGGTTGACCGAAATACCAGGCCCCCCAATTCTGTGTGATTCCTCTTTGATCTTGTGCCGTTCACAGTTGCATTTTATAGGTCATTGTCAGATGATTTAAAAGTTTAAGCATGGAGATATTTTTCCATTTTTCTCCCTGGAACAACTCATTTCCCAAATTTGACTATTAGGATTTGAAGGTAAACTTAAAAGCTTCTCTGCTTAAATATCTGAGCACAATGAAAGAAGTTCTCTAATACAAATTTCTTGTTCTTGTCTGTTGTTTCATATTTTGGCATGTACTCAAGGATCACCTGCAGTAATAAATTTCTTTTAAGATTTCATTGTTTTACTTCTAAAATGGCATGTTATGTCATAGCAGTCAAGGAATACAGAAAAATGCTGTGGTCTGACTTATTACAAAAACAACCTTTTTGCATAATAAGGGCCTGGAATGATGATGTCCTACATTTATTAACATAGCATTTTTATACAGGAAAAAATAGAAAAACAGAAAACTTAAAGTGTTTAGATATTATACAGTTAGTAAATTAGATAGTGTTAAAGAGTAATAATAGGGGAGACATGCTAATAAGCCAATATATAATACAAACACATATTTAAAGAACACAGAGCCAAAACAACAACAATAACAACAACAACACCACCAAAACAACAGAAACACAGTACCAGTAATTTTTTGTGTGTATAAACCTCTTCAGTATCTTAGTCATTGCTATTATGATTTTATGTTTCGTGCTTTTCTGCTCTTATACATCAAATGTAGTTACAATGATCCAATTTGTCCCTTTTCCCACAGAGGGTAGTATGAATAAATTATACCCCATGATGGCATATTGTTCTAAATAATGTAAACATAGAAGCATGTACATCAAAGCTTTTACTTACAATATGGGTCCCCTAATTGGACATCTTTAGTAAGATCCTGGCAAGCCAGAAGCATAGGAATGCCTAATAATACTAAATTGATATTAAGATAATTTGTGTAAAACTTGAAGTGAGGCTGGTTTAGAACACATACAACAGTGTTGATTAGATTTTGTTTGAATGTACTCTGGACTCTTTTATCCACTCACAGCTCATGAGGTCATTTTTTTACACTGTTGTGGAACATTAACCGTGTCAGTCATTTCAGGGATAATGGGTCCAAATCCACACACAGAACTGAAAACAGGCTTTCTTTGTTTTTGTTTTTGTTTAATTTTAGAGAGAGAGAGAGAGAGAGAGAGAGAGAGAATGAATAGGGGGAGAGAAGTAGAGAGAGAGAGAGCACGAATAGGGGAAGAGAAGTAAAGGGAGAGAGAGAGAGAGAGAATCTCCATGCTGAGTGTGGAGTCAGTCATGGGGCTCGATCCCGTGACCCTGGGATCATGACCAGAGCCAAAGTCAAGAGTCAGGTACCCAACTGACTAAGCTGAAAACATGTTTTTAGCTGATATTTTCAGAAAGTCAAATTTCACCTTTTAATAACTGATGGTTAGCTCTCCAACATCAGAAGTACTGAGAGAGTTTGGAAATGATAGTTGTTGATGTTTTTGTTATTTTTTCCACCTAAAATGGCAGTAGCACCTTAACATAGACCCTCATTGTCTACAGGAGACCACAGTAGTCTAGCGGGAGCTGATTTCCAGATCCTGGTTCTGCTGGGGGGGCCCATGAAGGGCTGATGACCAGCAGCTCACTAAATACATCACAGACTCAACCAACCTTAGAGGCAGGGCTAGGGTACCAGCAGCTGCATTTTCAGGGACAGGTAGAACCTAAGTCATGCTTGGAAATGTATTCAAGGACTTGTAAGTTCCAGGTAATATTTTTACGAAAAGGATCTGATGATAATGCATCCCATAGTTGGAGGCATTAAGAATCATACAAAGAATTAGCTCCTTAAAAAAAAAAAGCTTTAAGGTTTATTTATTTTTGAGAGCACAAGAGAGAGACAGAGCGTGAGCAGGGGAGGGGCAGGGAGAGAGGGAGACACAGAATCTGAAGCAGGCCCCAGGCTCTGAGCTGTCAGCACAGAGCCCAATGCGGGACCTGAACTCACTGACTGCGAGATCATGACCTGAGCCGAAGTTGGATGCTTAACGGGCCTAGCCACCTAGGCACCCCACAAAGAAGTAACTCTTAAACTTGTTTTCTTTGTTGTTAGTGTGCAAATATTTGAAGGAAACTATGTGGGATCCAATATATAGTTGTTGAGTAAATGAATAATTAGAGCTTTCAGTTCTTATTGAAAATAAGAAAATATTATGCATGCTACCCTTGGCATCAAGTGCACTGTACCTCTCAGACAGTAGTCTTCCAAGACACAGCACAGAGTGTTTCTTTCGTGTGATACTTACTGGAGAATTAGCAGGACTAGTTAGAGTATAGATGGCTTTCGTGGGAACTAAAAGTCTATTTGTCTCACATAAAATGACATTTTTCTCCTTCTTTTCTAAATTGGTACAATTGAAAGCAATGCTTACTTTGCCCATATGGCAAAGTCCAAAAAACGGTTACTAGGTTAACTTCAAAAACCACTAAGATTATTTTTTTCCTGTGTATGTTCTTGAAAGGGGGCCAGCCTTGAACTACATTAGCTTGATTGACTCTTAACCTAGTTGGTCCTGGCGGGATTCCCAAAGCATAATATGGTTATACAGCTGAGTCCTTATAGGTTTAGGTTTGGGAGGCTAAAGGGAAAATGGACCTTTGTTCTGGGGTCCTGATACATCACCCAACAGTGATGATCTTTTTCTCATTGAAATTCTCAGGGGAAGTCCAACAGTCTACCTGAAGCACAGTGTTGTAGAGTGTTGAAGGCAGAACTCTAGAACTGGCTAGTATTTGGTATAGCCGCTTCATAAAGTGCCAGAAGTTCCCAATATCAGAAGAAGTCCCTAAATATTTGTTCACTTAAATTAAAGCAAGGACCAGGCCAAATTTAACAAAAATATTGACACAACTAACCAAATCCAAAAACAAAATAAAAAAAAACACAGAAAAGAACCAAGGTACCTCTTTGAATCAATCTCACATACATAATTGTTTTCATATATGTTTGTTGAATGAACAGTTATCCAATATATGCTCAAGTGTGGAAATTGCACATTTTATTTTTTTCTGATTTAGAGGCAATTGGAGTAGTACCATTTAAAATGACACATTAGAGGGGTGCCTAGCTGGCTCCTTCTGAAGAGAATGCCACTCTTGATCTTGGGGTCGTGAGTTCAAGCCCTATATTGGGGATAGAGATGACTTAAATAAATATAAAAAATAAAATGAGACATGAGAGAAAAAGTAGTGTGGACCATGTGACAGAAATTGCATTCACTTTGTGTTAATTGTGCTCTCTTAAGTAACAAAGTTAATTTAGTGTGGGTTATTTGCATATTTTTTCAGTTCTATTAAAACTAAATCTGCAGCATAAATTTGTATTTAAGTGGTGAGGAAATCTATAGTGTAAAATCTATAATTGCCTAGTTGTATAAAATCTGTAATTGGAATATCTGCCTTAACCAATTTGAACATTTACATATGTGTGTGTGTGTGTGTGCGCGTGTGTGTGTGTGTGTGCGTGCGTGTGTGTATGTGTGTATTATATATAAGTGAACTAAAGCAAAGTGTTAGAGTAAAAGGATCATTTGCCACTTTTGGGTTAAATCTAAGGCCTTGTCCTTCATTTTTAAAAAATCTTATTTTGGGGCGCCTGGGTGGCGCAGTCGGTTAAGCGTCCGACTTCAGCCAGGTCACGGTCTCACGGTTCGTGAGTTCGAGCCCCGCGTCGGGCTCTGGGCTGATGGCTCAGAGCCTGGAGCCTGTTTCCGATTCTGTGTCTCCCTCTCTCTCTGCCCCTCCCCCGTTCATGCTCTGTCTCTCTCTGACCCAAAAATAAATAAACGTTGAAAAAAAAATCTTATTTTGATTGGTGTGACTGTTAAGTGTTACTCAAGGTCAGTTGTATTTTGTGGCTGTGGAACCTGTATGTGGTATGAAAAGGTAAGCTCCTATCAGAGTGACCCACATCAGGCAAGGTGAATAAAATTGTTCTTGGCTACACGAATCAAACATTATTTTAAAAGAAATGAATACTTTTCAAAGAGTGCCTAGTTCTGCGAAGGAATATGATTTTGCAAAGTAGATTTTTCCCTTTTGCTCTCAGTGTATGAAAAAAGCGATTCTCCTTTTTTTAAAGCAGGTTTTCTTATTTGAATCCCTTTCAAGACCTGTTTTAAGAATGGTTCTGAGGTCTTTTGAGCATAACATGTAAAAAAGAGTTATCCTAAGGAGTTGTACGGAACAGTAGGAAGCGGGTATCTTTTGAGGGAAAAGAGCTATAGCAGTATAATATATTAACGTACTTTCTTGGGGCACCTGGGTGGCTCAGTTGGTTAAGCGTCCAACTCTTGATCTTGGCTGAGGCCATGATCTCATGGTTCATGAGATCAAGCCCCGCAACGGACTCTGCGTTGACAGCATGGAGACTGCTTTGGATTCTCTCTCTCTCCCCCTCCCCCACTTGTACACATTCTGTCTCTTTCTCTAAATAAATAAACTTAAAAAAAGATACTAATGTACTTTCTTCACTTCTTAAAGTATACATAAGTCAGTATCATCACTCCTTATCCTAGTAAGCTTTCCCAGTGATTTGTAAGTATGCTAAAATTTGAGAAGCATTTCTCTATTTCATATTTAAAAACTTGGACTCTTAAAAAAAAAAAACAGTTGGAAGGCATGAAACAATTTCAAACCTGTAGATGATTTGATCCATTCTGTGCTTTAGGAATTCTCTTTCATTGAACAGATATTTATTTAGTCCTTATTGTGTGCCAGGCATTTTGCCAGGAACCTGGGGTACAGTGGGTGACCAAGGTACCGTAGTCCCTGCCCAGTGCAGCTCACAATGTAATGGGAAATAGAGACAATAAGTAACTATAAATAAGTAATTACAAATTCTGGTAAGTACTTACAGTTAGCAAAATCAAGTTCATTCTTCAAGAACTAGATCAACTGTCAGACTCTCCGTAGAGATTTTTCTTGGTAGCCTTATTCCAACTTAAACATTCTTATCACAGCACTTTGCTTACTTTTATTTTATTCCTTCCTATTAAATGTTTCCTTGATAGCAAGAGAGTATTTTATTGACGTAGTTAAGTTTACTCTTTTTTCTTTTTTTTTTTTTTCTTGTCGACCCTTTCTTCTTTCTATGTAGACTGCTCAAGGTGGTGGTCATCGAACACTCCTGTACGGACATGCCATATTGCTACGCCATTCCTATAGTGGCATGGTGAGTACGCATTTTGATTTCATCTCTTACAGGGCTCATTTAGATATACATCAGCAGGAAGTGTTGGTAATAGCATTTCATTGATGGTATTAATAAATTGGGATGGATGCATTCTTTAATACCTTTGTACCTTATTTATTTTTTCTCATTTAAAAAATGAGAGTTAGCTTAGATGATCTGTAAAGTCCTTCAATTCTATCATTTACGACTCCTATTTTTTATTATCTTAATTTTTGATAGACTGGTTTTAAGAAGACAGAGGTGTAAGAGTCAAATAAATATTTCTCATTTCTGTTTTTGTTTTAAGCAGTTCATTTATTAGAAAATTAAATTTTATAATTAAAGAAATTACACAGTTCATTTATTAGAAAATTACTGAAAGATAACATTGAAAAAGTCTATATCCGCAGTGTTATCCATATAGGTGTAGATACTCATATACATATCTGTCTATCTAGATACATACTTGATATACTTCTATATATTTTTATGTTATATAATATGCATTATTATTTTATATAGTTTGTAAAATGCATAAAAGTTTTATTCTACTCTTGTAAAAGCTCTATTAGGTTATAAAAGCAATACATATTTATTTTATAAGATTTGGAAATTACAGATGACACAATTCTTCATGATCATGTTAATGGGAGAAGAATGTTTAGGGACTTTAAAAAAATTTAATCCTTGGGGCGCCTGGGTGGCTCAGTCGGTTGGGCGTCCGACTTCGGCTCAGGTCACGATCTCGCGGTCCTGAGTTCGAGCCCTGCATTGGGCTCTGGGCTGACAGCTCAGAGCCTGGAGCCTGTTTCGGATTCTGTGTCTCCCTCTCTCTCTGACCCTCCCCTGCTCATGCTCTGTCTCTCTCTGTCTCAAAAATAAATAAATGTTAAAAAAAATTAAAAAAAATTTAATCCTTTCTGTTCTTATTAATTTTTTACATAATTGAGATCTTACTACATAACCAAATTTATATCCTGATTTTCTAAACATATTGTTGTAGCATAAGCATTTTCCACATAATTTAAATTCTTCATCAATATAATGTTCTTGAATACATGATGGTCCAACATTTAGAAGTATAATATAATTGATTGTTTCTTTGATGAAGAAAATCTGTTTTAGAGATTTACATAATTCTGATATTATGTAAATCACTTCAGAACAGGTGACCAAGCATAGCCTCAATATCAGTACCCAAAAACATATAAAAAATTGTCAGTCAGGACACGTAGATAGCTCAGTTGGTTAAGCGTAAGATCATGATCTCACAGTTCATTGCGTTTGAGCCCTGCACTGACAGTGCAGAACCTTCTTAGGATTCTCTCTCTGCCTCTCTCTGCCCTCCCCGCTCATTCTCTCTCTCTCTCTCTCTCTCTCTCTCTCTCTCTCAAAATAAACTTAAAATTGTGAGTCTTATTCATGATTATCAGTGTGAAAATCTGACCTAAATTTCTGGTGAATGGAATTCAAAAGTATAAGAAGAGAAGTATAGGAAAACTGTAGATACCATTTAATGATGACTTAATAATATCATTTCTATTAATGTGCTACATCATGTAAATAGGCCAGATAAGAAAAATTGTGATCATTTTAACAGGTATTGAAAAAGGTTTTTAATAAAACTCGACACCCATTTCTAATAAAAACTAAGCATTGATGATTAATTTCTCAGTGATAAAATATAAACATCAATTCAATAACCAACATCAATCTTAATTGTCAAACACTAAGGTGGTTCTTGACAAAACCCAGTCAAACAAATAAACAAAACCAAAAGTACATTAACATGGTTCTGGATCTGTTGGCTGACACAGCAATATAAGAAATAAAATTTAGGAAAATACTCTAGTAAAGCGGCTGGATACTAGATAAATACATAAATACAACCTATTTGCATACAGCCATCATGCATTAAAACTTCATGGAAAGAATTCTATTCCAGAACTTGGTTAGTCATTCTGGGTTCACACTCACTTTCTCAAGTGTGCTAGGTACTGTTTTAGGTGCTGGGTATAGTAGTGAATAAGATCATAACCTTGTCCTCATGGAACTTAATGAACATTTAGTGGAATAATTATATTACCTACCTCATAGTTGCTGTGAATATTATTGGAAGAGAGAATTTATGGTAATATTGATAGTACCCAGTACTGTAATTATTGCAGGATGTAACAGAAGACTTTAACAAGATAAAGGAAGACACAATATATTTAGAGCTAAAGTCTATGAACCTCAGGTATCACCATGGGCAGCCTTTCTCAAGGTGAGACTCACAGTCCTACACTGGCTCAGAACATTTTTGAGGACCCTCAAAGCAACTTTTCTATAATTTTGGGAGCCAGTGTTTTGTAGACAAAAGGCAGAATTGGAATCTCCATGTTAATTTCATTTTACATCCCCATGGCACTGACTTCCACTTAATGTGCCGGCACATCTGTCCCAATTGATTCACTCTCGCCTCATCACAGTTACTGGCTCCCACTGAGGTGGGTGGATCCTGTTTCATAGAAGGAATTTTCTAGGCTTTGCCCTATTTGTTCAGTAACTCTGAGAGGTCTGGACTTGCTCCATCCCCAGAATTGTCTCTGAGTACTCTTTGCAGGGCTCCTGGTCTTGCTGGCAGTGCGCTTGTTACGTAGATGATAGTGTATCTTGACCTTATACTACGTTCATCCTTGTGTCCTCATTCTTATACCAGTTTGCCAAGATTTCTGAGGTTGGGGTACGGTTCAGGAAGGTGGACTGAAAAATTATGCTAGACTTTATGTTCAAGCATATACAGTTAGGGAAACTTAAGGGGGGGGAGATGGAAGGAGATGATGGTGTTGCAAGAGTTCAGTTACCCATAGGGAATCACACACACGTATACATGTGATAGAACCTCACTTCAGGGAGGTGACATGCTGCACACCAAAATGAATTCAAATTCAGATGAATTTCAGTGAGTGAAAATTTTATTTCATTTAAAAAAAATTTTTTAATGTTTGTTCATTCATTCATTCATTCATTCTTTTGAGAGAGAGAAGTAGGGAGACAAGGGCAGGGAGAGAGGGAGACACAGAATCCGAAGCGGGCTCCAGGCTCTGAGCTGTCAGCACAGAGTCCGACGCGGGGCTCGAATCCACGAACCTTGAGATCATGAACTGAGCCAAAGTCGGACACTCAACCGACTGAGCCACCTAGGTTCCCCGAGAGTTAAAATTTCAAAAATGAAACCAGAACTAGAAGATGAGAGCGAATAGTTTTCAAATTTCTGTTTGGGAGAAAGATTTCTGTCCGATCAGGTTGTACTTTTGCTTACGATCATGAATATCACATGAAGGGAGATGTACAAACATATCCCCAGTTATGTGTTTTCTTTTACTGACAGAACACATTTCCTAAGTCTTTTCGTGAGGAGAGAAAGGACCGCATCTCCCTTAGAGCATTGCTCCTAATGAATGCCATATGAGTGTTGTTTTCCCTCACAATGAAAAATCGCGGCTGTGCACAGAAGCATCCAGATGTGAAGGAGAAGACTGATAGAGCAGAGATAGACTGATGATAGCAAATGACGCGTCAGAATTAAACTCCCACAGGACCATAAATGTTTAGCAACAACTACTGACTCTGTGTCTTTCAGTACCTGTGCTGTCTGTCCACCTCCCGGTCTTCAACTGATAAACTGGCCTTTGATGTTGGCTTGCAAGAGGACACGACAGGTGAGCGCCTTGGGCCCCAGTGAGGCTGTGCTCAGAGAGAGCATGGCAGGGATTGGACTGGGAGAAGTTGTAAGCCATGGAGATCCATTAGATAAATGTTCTTATGGATGGAGTCAAGAAAAAAACGAATGACTTTCTAAGGAAGATTTTTAGTAGAAGGAGGAAGTGTATATTGTTTCTATTGGTTGGTCGTTCCCACATAATTAACTGGTTACTCAAACTGTACCTCAAACATTCTTCTTAGGGATTTGGATACAAATACAGTATTTACTACATTTTAAGTCTAAGAAATGTAGCATGCTTCATGTCAGGATTCCAACAAAAAGGTCAAAAATGAAAGTCTGCCTCATTTCTCCGTCCATAGGGCTACATATCTGTCCAAATACACATATATTTTTATATTTTGAAACAGAAAATGCATACATTAACACAATTTACCCTTGGGGAGAATCAAAGTAGGAGAACATAGACTCTGTTGGTGTTTCTGTTCTCAGTGCTGTGAGGACTTTACGCTTTATATGCCTCTGTACAATTTGATTATCTTATCTTTTACAATGAGCATGCATTAAAAATTTAAAAAAATTAAAATTAAATTAAAAATAAACCAATTAAAACTTTATGGAATTAAATGAAAAATTGGAATTAAAAATAAAAATAAAGACCAAGTAGAAAACAAAGGAAGGAAACAGACCAAGTCTTATTGAGTACTTTCTCTCAGGGGAGGGATCAAGCTATCCCCTCACACCTCTCCCCTTTCCTCCTTTTTAAATAATTTCCCAGGGGCACCTGCATGGCTCAGTCATTTAAGCCACTGACTCTTGATTTCAGCTCAGGTCATGATCTCACAGTTTGTGGGTTTGAGCCCCACATTGGGCTCTGCGTGGACAGTGTGGAGCCTGCTTAGGATTCTCTTGCTCGCTCTCCCTCTCCCCTCTCCCCCTCAAAATAAATAAATAAAATAAATTTTAAAAAATAAAATAAAATACCACCTTCTAAAATTTTCACAGACAACCAGTGGATAAAGATAAATATTCACCAACCTAATTAACTTTTCATAGACCAACACATCACCATGCATGACAGATTCCAGAACCCCAGGCACCAAAACGAGGAATATTATTTTTATTTTTAGAAGCTTGATCATTTCTCTGCATTTTTGCTAGTTTTGAAATGTTTCCTCATTTTAATTTACTTCAGCAACATCGACATGAAAAAGTCTTTATTTCTGTCTCTCTCAAAAAGAGTCAAAGACATGTACGATCTAGAGTTTGTTTTCATACACTGAGATGATTATATAATCGTCAAAACAACAAAATAAGGCAGTCCCTTTGCCAGTGTGTGATCCCTTTATGGTGTACTGTGTTCCCGTAGCTTTTTACATCATCTGAATTGCTGAATTATTATATTTATTGCTTGTTGTCTGCCTGCCTTGTGTGAATTAAACTCACAAGGCAGATAACTTTTCATTCCTTGTTTACTGTGTATCCCCAACTTCTAAAGCAGTGATTGACAGAGTGTGGTTGCTTTATAAACATTTGAGTGAATGAATGAAAAACTCCCTGCAACCCTAAAAATGTGAATTGAGTGAATAAAGATAAAAAACCCTGCAAGGTGACATTCACGTAAGACTGTGGTCCATATAAGGAAAGCATCTCAGGGCACATGACATGTTGGCTGTAAGAATGCTTAAGAAGTGGTATTTGATGATTAATTTACACATTTATGCAAAGTGAATTTTTATTTAGTGCCTACAATATGCTAGTAGCAGCTGGGGAAACCCCGGTGAACAAAAACACAAAGCTCCTGCTGTTATGGAACTTATTGTGGCATTGGGGAATTGGTGAAGAAGAAAAAAATAAGTGTTCTGAAAAATAATAAAGCTGGTCAAAGGGGCAGAATGAGTATTAGAGAACAGAGATCACTAAAACCCTACTTGCAATTTTGGATAGAACTTAGATTTAGATTTTAAAAGGAACTTAAAATTTTTTTTTTTTCAACGTTTATTTATTTTTGGGACAGAGAGAGACAGAGCATGAACGGGGGAGGGGCAGAGAGAGAGGGAGACACAGAATCGGAAGCAGGCTCCGGGCTCTGAGCCATCAGCCCAGAGCCCGACGCGGGGCTCGAACTCACGGACCGCGAGATCGTGACCTGGCTGAAGTCGGAAGCTTAACCGACTGCGCCACCCAGGCGCCCCTAAAAGGACCTTTAAACACATTGAGGAATTGTTTGCTTAAGTTTATATTTTAGCTAATCGGGCTGAAGAATGGATTGATGTGTGGCTCAGGAGGCTTATGCTTGACTTGTTCTGGAAGAAATTATTTGAGTTAATGTGTACCCAGATATTTTTAAGGTGTATCCTTCTATAGTAGGATTCTCTTATATTTTACCCTTAGTTAAGTAGAAACTACCACATTTGAAAATAAAAAATAAGGGGCTCCTGGGTGGCTCAGTTGGTTAAGCATCCAACTTCAGCTCAGGTCCTGATCTCATGATTCGTGAGTTCAAGCCCCGCATCGGGCTCTGCGCTGACAGCTCAGAGCCTGGATCCTGCTTTGGATTCTGTGTCTCCCTCCCTCTCTTTCTGTTCCTCCTGTGCTCACTCTCTCTCAACCTCTCTCTCAAAAATAAATATTAAAAATTTTTTTAAAAAGTAAAATAAAAAATAAAACAAGGCACAGGATAGTAACATTTCAGTGACAACACTTTGCATCTACTTTTAATTAGCATCCCCCCAAAGTACAGAGTTTTTAAAATGCTATAATGCAACTGTCACGTTGCAAATGCCAAGTCCTTTTGAAAATCATGTGCCAGAAAACTAGAGGTTATTACAGAGAGCAAGGAACATGTGATTATAGAAGGAATGCAGTAAGACCAGCATGACTGGTACATTTGACCATATGGTAGCGTAAATAAATACCTTGTAAGCAATTCTCAGTGTGGGGGGTGGCGGGGTGGGGAGGGAGACACCAAACTTCCCAGAATGTCACAACCGGGTTCCATTGCATTTGGCCATGTCTTTACCCTAAGCTAATTTGGCCTCGGTCTTTGGAGTTGCGTGGTCTACCAGATGAACTTGCAGTAAACTGCAAGTGAACTTTCAAACTTCTGAAAGCTGGGTGAGAAGAACCATTTTATTTATTTATCGGGAGACCGACTTGAAGACTTATTTTATGAAAGACTCTTTCATTTTGGAGGTGCTGGCAGACAAAATCGATTTTAAAATAAGAGGCATCTCTTCGTGTTTCCCCTTTCCAATCGTCCTGCAGGTGAGGCTTGTTGGTGGACTATTCATCCTGCGTCCAAGCAGAGGTCGGAAGGAGAAAAGGTGCGCGTTGGAGATGACCTCATCTTAGTCAGTGTGTCCTCTGAGAGGTACCTGGTAAGTGTGGCAGGAGGGGTCGGGTGTTGGGTGTTGGGTCCATGAAGTTTTCACCGGAAACCCAAGACTGCAAATTCCCTAACGAAATTGCTTAGAGACAAGGCTGTATCTCTCTTTGATGAGTTATAAATAACTTTAAGTAAGGGACTAATGTGACCTGTGTGCAAGTGTGGCTTCCCGGGTTTATTTAGACAGGCTTCCCTTGTGCCCTTAGTTTGTGTGTTCATGATACTGACAGCACCTGTTCTCAGGTTATTTTATTAATGACATGCAAATACAGTCTAATCAGGAATTCAAAATTCCACGGACTTTATTTTGTGCCCACCGAAGGCTGTGTTAAGGGGATTGTGATTACCTGTTTTGACATGTACGAAAGCAAATTAGTATATGAGGAACTTGTGCCATGTTGACAAAGGAGAAATAGATGAAATAAAAACCAGTTCCGGTCTCTCATTGACACGGCATGGTTTCAGAGGGTGGGGGTTAGAAATGGGAGTGTGAAAAAAGAAGTTTGTATTGTATCATTGGAGGTGTATTTTATTTTTGTGGTGAGGCCGTTATATATTTAATTTAACTTAGTAAATTGTATTTTTGCTGCACCCAAGTTTTCAGAAGAGTGAAATCAATGGAAGTGTGAAGGATGCCAGTGCAAAGTATTCTTTTTATTTTGAGGTTGAAAAAGGAACTCAACAGAGGCACCTGGCTGGCTTAGTCAGTGCACCATGTGGCTCTTGATCTTGGGGTTTGTGAGTTCGAGCCCCGCGCTAGCTGTAGGGATTACTTAAATAAATAAATAAATCTTAAAGAAAAAAAAAAGTAAGTATAAATTATAAACTTTCCAAGAATATTTATATAAAAAACTTCCAAACATCACAGTGGATGATGATAGAAATAAAAATCAGAAATGGAACATTGTAGCAGTTAAGCAGACACTGATTTATAGAAAGTGTATTCCCACTGCCATAAATGAAAAGAAACTCTTTTTGCATAGTCGATTTAAGATCAAGAAGGTAGCTGGTGCCCCTTGCTCTGGGAACATGGAAATAGGGTGGGTTTAGGCTGTTGGGAGTCAGATTGTGCTTATCAACACATTTCGTTCCAATTTTGAGATGTATCTCAGAAGAACGGTTTTGTTTCACTTGCTCTGTGGAAAGAGGTAATGGTAAAGACCAAGAAATGATGGAACAGTGATGGTCTAACTCACAGGACTGTTACATTAAGTGGAACATCTAATGTTGAACAGCCAAAGGGAGGCCTGGAGTGTTCCTCTCCTTTTGTCTCTTGACCAGTGTGGATGGAAGCGGGCACCATCCATGCTTCTGGGATAATACAGACATGTCAGCTTGTCAAAGAAGCATTTATTAAGCCCTTGCTGTATGCACATGCTGTGTCTGTGAAGGTGCTGTACATCTTGATCAGGAGATAGATCTTTGGAGTTGTAATTTTACTTGGAAACCAGTAGCAGCTAAAAGTAATCATTGCATGCTTTTATTTTTTTTTTTTAATTTTTTTTAATGTTTATTTATTTTTGAGACAGAGAGAGACACAACATGAACAGGGGAGGGGCAGAGAGAGAGGGAGACACAGAATCGGAAGCAGGCTCCAGGCTCTGAGCCATCAGCCCAGAGCCCGACGCGGGGCTCAAACTCGCGGACCGCGAGATCGTGACCTGAGCTGAAGTCGGTCGCTTAACCGACTGAGCCACCCAGGCGCCCCCATTGCATGCTTTTAAATGTATACATATCTTATTTTGATTTGGACATGACTGTGCATGTTTTTGCTGTACAATTTGTACTTCCCACGACGTAGCAGAGTTTACCTGACGGGATGCCATTGTTAGGTACTGAAGGAGTAGAAAACTCGGAATCTCACTGGGGACCATGCTTCTAGCATCCCTTCTGCCACTAATTCCCTGAACTCCCTGAATTCTGGCTTTCCCACTTGCAAAATGCTGGTGCTTATATTTAACACAAGTTTACTAGGATGAACCAATCAGATAATGAATGTGAATAAGGTATGATTTCAAAAGCACTTAGATGAATAGTATCAATAATCATAATGCATGAGGTTCACCTTCTCTTGCCTTTAGAAATAAATCTCATGATAAATGAAATTCACGAATTATTTTCCAGCTACAGTTTAGCCAGTTCACCCAGGTTCCTTTTCTGGTATGCTTTTAGCGAGCTACAAACAGTGGTCACTCGGACTGTTTAGATTTCGCTTTTGTTTGGGCAGGAAGTCAGTGCTTTCAGTGTTCATCTCTGTGTACCTAGCGTGTCGTAAAAACTGCAGGAAAGACCAAGGGCACATTGCACCTGCTTTCTGCCCTCAAAGCATTAGTGGAAGAAGCGAACCAAATACATAGGGAACTGTAGAAGAATATTGTAAGGCAGTAAGTATGTGTTACAGTTTTGGTTTTGGGTATAGGGTATAGGGCATAGGGATGGTTAATTATTTCACACTCTTGCTGTCGTTGATTACAAGAATCTGGAGAAAGTGTGATAAGGGTAAATAGTGAGGGAGCAAAAGGATTTTGGAATAGCAGTAGCTGGAATAACCCGTATACTGCGCCTAAATAACTAAAAATGGGCTCTGTGTATAAATATCTGTTTATTAGTGTAGGGTCTGGTAAGTATGAGCCTGGGCCAATCACGGAACTTCTTAAAACCCTCACTTTCCTCACCTGCAATATGGTGATAATAAAGAACGTAATTCACAGGGGTGTTAAAAAGATGAAATTCTTTGATCCAAACCAGAGAGTTGCTTAGTGAGTTGCTATCACTGTTTACTTGGGAGATTTGTCCTTGTGGAGAATGGCTAACGACGCTGCAGATACTTAACCAGAAGAAGAAGAAGTCGGGAAGGCAGGAGTAAAGGGAGTAATATAGCTGATTTTAAATAGAGGTCTACCGTGGAAAGCCAGGTTCACATTCTGAGAAGTTGCTGATGTGTTTAAAAGTAAATAATTTAATAACTTTGGCTGAAAACACATCCGTTAAAAATAACTACTTAAAATAAACTTTTCCAGCCATTGATTTTATAACTTTCTAGTCATTAGTGCCTGTGGACCTTTGATCTAGTTTTCCTCCACTAACAGAGATGGTTAAGCTGAATTGGGCTTTAGGTACTCTAATAAAGCTTACAACTGCTGGGGTGCTAATGGGTAAAATTGACTTTACACGATTGATTTTCACCCTGTCCTCTGCAGCCGTGCCCCGTGGACAGAAGAGGGCGCTGTGTTGGACACCAAGCAGCCCAGGCTGTGCCCTCTACTTCATATGTTGCTTCTCTGCGCATGATTTCCAAGGAATAAGGGGTCTTATTTCTAGAAATAAGTTGTTGCAAACCGCTCATCCAAATATGGTCTTTTCTCAACTTGCTGTTTCATATTCTCATATGGAATGATACCTTCATCCTCTTTTCAGGATATCCAAGAAGAAAAACAAAACCCCTGTGTCCCTATTGGAACTGTTTACTTTTTTTCTTTTAAGAAGAATTGACAAAGCAGCTTAAATATAAGACAGATACACAACTTAAAATAAAGAAAACATGGCCGTGTAGGTAGTGCTGACTGTGAATCTATTTCAAACTGAACAAATAAAGCATACACAACAACTTTTATTGGTTTAGAAAGACATCAGATCACCCTGGTACACACAGAAGTCTTCAATCCATGGGTTGGATTACTTGCATTGGAAACATTGATTTTTTGACTAATTTTTTCTTAATTAGGTCACCTATAGAAACATACAGATTTTTTAAAGATCCATGAAAACATTGCCATTGTCTGAAAGTAATTAGGCAAAGCTGAACCCCACAATCTAAAGAGTGGTCGGCAGATGCTTAAATAAGGCATTCTCGGGTTCATAAGAATTTCCCTACCATTCCCCTACCCATCTCTGAATTTCTCATAAGAAGGACAAGGTGTTTTGACTACATAAGAAGTTGCTGAATTTCCTCAAGTTGCATAAAATACTGATAACTAAAAAGGACAGCGATCATAAATCTTTTCAAGCTAATTATTTTGCAGCAACCATTTTTATTTACTTTGAGCCTTTTTTTTTCTCTCTCTCTCTGTGGCTCCAATGATGGTATCATAGAATATTCCTTTCGGAAAGAGCGTCTATTCTGTGCCCCTCATTTTTTCTCAGAAGGAGAAAATGAAGCCCGAGGGGTGATATGTCTTATGTACTTGTGTTTCCTGTCACTGGATGCTAATGTATCCAGAATGTTGCTCACCAGGACCCAGGTGCCTGACACTTAAGAGAGAAATATTTGTGTTGAATGAATGCATCCCATAAGGGTTGAATTCAGATATTCCTAAAAATTTAGGGGCCATAGACCCCTTTGGTAATCTGATGAAGCTTATTGACCGCTTGTCATCAATATTTTAAAATACATGAAACATATACATAGGATTACAAGGAAAACTAGACGTTCTCTAAGTGGAGTTTTGGTTAAGAACTCCCATAGGGGAGTGTGGGTGGCTCAGTCGGTTAAATGTCCAACTTCAGGTCAGGTCATGATCTCATGGTTTATAGGTTTGAGCCCCATGTTGGGCTCTGTACTGACAGCTCAGAACCTGCAGCCTGCTTCAGATTCTGTGTCTCCCTTGCTCTCTGCCCCTCCCCTACTCATGTTCTGTCTGTGTCTCTCTCTCTCAAAAATAAGTAAATATTAAAAAAAAAAAAAAAAAAAAGAACTCCCATAAGATGATTTATAATATCCTCTCTTACTTCTGAGATTTTGTGATTCTATCATACAATGTCCTGTTACTCAAAACACCGTTTTGGGGCCAGCAGCCTTGGTTGGCCCCTCCACACTTCCTGGGTTCAAATATGCATGTTTGGACAAGATCCTCAGCTGACTCCTGTGTGTATTCGATCTGGAGAGTCACTAACACAAAGGTCACGGTGACATGAAGGAATGGAGGGGGCCCCAGGCCCCTCCACTTTTGCTGGTGGGTTGATGCTACTGTAAGCATGTAAATTCTAGAATAGTTACATGTTTCAGCCTAAGGCCAACTTTGCTTTCAACCTCTGACAACATCTGTTTTGCTTTAAGGACAACTCGTCTTAGTTTCAGTAATTGCAACTGTTACTGCTTTCTGAATATTTCATCCGACAGGTCTGACAATGTTGTGTGTCTTTAGATTTCCCTTAGCTGTTTAAGCAGCAAAATTAATTAGAGACATCCAGAATAGTTATGCCCAGAGAATATTTTCTTGAGAAGAGTGGGCATTATTGAGTTTGTGTGCTGCAATACGATCTTAAGGACATTTTTTGGACTTTATTCAGCAGACTGAAACTTTCATATTTTTATGGTCCTCTCGTACGTATTATTTATCTTTAGGTTTAGATAGGATTTGAAAATTGCATCTTAACCCTCCTCCCCACTCCCATTATTTTTCACTACAGCAGCTCCTTACTATTATTTTTTTAATGCTTATTTTATTTTTGAGAGAGAGAGAGAGAGAATGTGGGGGAGGGGCAGAGAGAGAGGGAGACACAGAATCTGAAGCAGGCTCCAGGATCTGAACTATCAGCATAGAGCCCCACACCGGGCTCGAACTCATGAACTGCGATATCATGACCTGAGCTGAAGTCGGATGCTTAACTACTGAGCCACCCAGGTGCCCCTCGCAGCACCTTATTTTTTTTTTTTAATTTTTTAAATGTTTATTTATTTTTGACGGGGGGTGGGGGGTGCGCATGAGCGGGGGGGGGGGGGGCGGAGAGAGAGAGAGAGAGACACAGAATCTGAAGTAGGTTCCTGGCTCTGAGCTGTCAGCACAGAGCCCGACACGGGGCTCAAACCCACAGACCATGAGATCATGACCTTAGCTGAAGTCGGATGCTTAACCAGCTGAGCCACCCAAGTGCCCCCAGCAGCTCCTTATTGTCTGAAGCATAAGGTGCTCCCATGTTCTGGTACCTGTTTATCTGCTGATCCATATCTCACTGTATTACTAAGTATATGGTCTCAGCCCCCAACATGGAACTCTCTGCTGTATCCTGTGTTCCCATATGTCTGTCCCTTTGGTTACCCCCCTTCTCTGTGTCATAACATTCCCCTTATCAGAGCCTCTTAGAGGAACAAAGAGGTCCAGGCCACTTCCATTTATGAGGTTTCTGGCATATTAAAAATGAAAACCTCCAAACTGGCTTACAAAATGTAAATTGTTTCATAAAAAATGTTGGCATGTTTTAAATATTTACTTTAGCACATTAACCTTACTAATATACATACCCAAATCCGATGTATGTACAAAGTTACTCGGAGACAGCATCTCTAAACACAGAAATGTGAGGCCCAGACTAAGCAGTCCTACTGGCCCCTCATGCTCTCATCCCATGTGGAATGTGCAAGTGCCTTCTCTCTTGTGCAAGTGCTGTCTGTCCTCAAGGCTCAGTGCAGCGAGCTCTGTTCTGGTTACGTTGGCCAAGGTGCTGTCTCGTTTCAATTCCTGGACCGCTTCAATTACAGTTCATGTAACATTGAAACATATATTTATTTTACCTTAAAGTATTACCTCAAAATATGCACGTACTTTACCTTCCCTTCCATGTTATAAGTGTACTTAGGGTACAGCATGTGACCTACTGATATTTAACACAGTGCTTAATACATAGCATATTCAGTGAAACGTGATGTGTTGACAGATGACGATAATTTATCATCATATGGTATGAGCTTTCCCTTCAATTCAAATAAAGATATAGGCATTGGTATTTTGAGTCATCTTCTCATGGTTTGGTAAAATCCACATGGATGTGTGTGTGTGTGTGTGTGTGTGTGTGTGTGTGTGCGCGCTGTTACTTTGACTCAGGTCATTGAAATGGGAATATTCATAGAATAACTTCAGATTTTTTTGTTTGTTTGATGCTACTTTGATTTTAAAGGTTTGGGTGACTTCTTCACATTCTTGCTTAGTGAACAATGCTGCTCGATATGAGGTATACAGTTGTGAACCTGTGTCTAATAGCTTATGAGATGGGGAAAGAAAATACACAGAACAGTTACATCACTGTGACTGCTCTGAAGGAAAATATGGCTTCCTTAGTTATGGAAGCAGAGCATGTACGAATTTATCTGTAAGTAGTTAAAGGAGTCTCTATTGGGGAAGAAATTCAGTAACGAATGTCCACTGGGATTTGGTGTCCAAAGGACAGGCTGAGGTGACAAGGTTGTAAAAAGGCGGATGGTGAGCCAAGACGAGAAGATCAGAGCAAGTTATTGCTAAGTATGATGCATCGACAGGGAAACTTTGAATCTTATTGATTCGAAAGATTATTGATAAGATGACCACCTAAGTGTCAAATGTCAAAATTTTCTCTGATTTTGTTCCCAAGAGAAAGATAGTGACTTACCTGCTTTTGCCGGTGACTTGAGAGTATGTTTAGGATATTCAATGCCCCGTGGAGCACGGGAACGCCCCGTGACTGCTTCGTGATTGTTCTTCATTTAACGAAGAGGGTCAGATTTCTGGGGAAAATCTGGTACAATTAAAGACCTTAAAAGCTTAGGCTGTCATCAGCATTGGAAAAGTGTTGCAGAAACATTACAGGAATATTGGTGATGTTTACCCGGAATGACTCTAAGGAAAAAGTGGTTGTTCTATGTGTATTTGAAATTCTAGAATCAGCCAAGTAGTGATCAGTAAAATGAGCAAGGTTACCCATAATTTTGTTTTTCTTTACTAATTATTTGAAAACTCATATATTATGACTCTTCAATGGGAAATATGATATTTTAGTACATTTCTATTTTTAAGAAGGAAAATCTGAAATTTGTAGTATCTGAATTTTGGAGGAAATGGAAGGTGCTGGTTAGCTACCTATTAGGAAATATTGCCACTTACTGGCTGTCATATCAAATTGCAGATAAAAGTTCTCCAAGGACCCTGTGAAAGTCCCTTAGAATTTACCTATTTCACCGTCCAAAAACTGTCACCGTGTGATATGTAGAAAAACTAATCATAGTTTCAATGGTGAGTGACCGCTCTCTGTCAAGTTTCGTCCATCAGCGAACTGCAAAAAGCAAAATGGTCTGTTTTAATGCATAAATTGATTTTAGTAGTTTTGTGTGTGTGTTTCTGATTAGTGGCTTCTGTGAGTCACTCTTAGAATGAAGCTCAAAAATACCTAAAGTCAAATAGGAGCTCTCACTTTTTTTTTTCCTACTAGTCTCTTAATGCCTGAGTGACAGGATCGAAATAGATGTTCTCAGTGGACATTCCCAAGTCGGCAGTGTTAAGTTCGGGCTGCCAGAAACACTTACGTCATAAGACTTTCGAAAAGCCTGAAGAGATGCCCTCTTTTGCCTCTCCCACAGCATTTGTCTTACGGCAATGGCAGCTTACACGTGGATGCTGCTTTCCAGCAGACTCTCTGGAGCGTGGCCCCAATCAGCTCAGGAAGTGAAGCCGCCCAAGGTAAAAAACAAAACAAAACAAAACAAACAAACAAACAAACAAAAAAAACCAAAAAACTCCACTTCAATTAGAGGGCTTGTCCTTGATCCATGGTTGACAGTCATCCCTGGAATTGTGATAATGAGCGGATTGTTAATCAGGGCATTTTGTGTCAAAATATTCTGGAATGCAGATACGTGACATTTAAGGATCTTGTTTCGATTGCTATTTAAAAGTGAAGTTTGTGTTAAGATTGATTTTCTTTTTTTTGTGCTGCCACCTTTCGCTTATTTGTGTGTGCTGTATGTGCTCGCTCCCTAGATGTTGTTTTCTCCAGTGTTTTGGCCTCAGAGTATTGTTCAGTGAGGCTAATAGGGAGGCTTCTCACCTTCCAGGGTTGGGGGACTTAGAGCCAGACCATGGCAGTGTTTATGTGTCAGGTTAATCTCTGCATCTGTTCTGATCATCCTCGTTTACATAGGTTCAGATCTGAGCCTCTCCATGTTTGTATGCGGAACGGAGGCTTTTCTGGGATCGAGGTCATGTTTTCTAGCAGGAACATCACGGACAGTGGGACTTGGGAACCCTGCGCTCAGAGGCGGCAGGCAGATTTTGGCTAGATACTTAAGCCTCACTGAACTTCTGTTTCTCTGTCTGTGCAAATAGAAGATTGGACCAGATGATCTGCCTGGCTATCGGCATCTGACCACGACAGTTCAAATGTGCCTGAATTTCAATCCTTACAGGGTATCTAATTGGTGGTGACGTCCTCAGGTTGCTGCACGGACACATGGATGAATGCCTCACTGTCCCTTCGGGAGAACACGGTGAAGAGCAGCGGAGGTTGGTACCAAGCCTGGTGTATCTGAGTCTTGCCTTGATGCAATTTTTATTTTTTTAATTTATTATTTTAAAAAGTTTTTTTTTAACATTTATTTATTTTTGAGAGACAGAGTGAGACAGAACACAAGCAAGGAAGGGGCAAAGAGATGGGACATAGAATCCGAAGCAGGTTCTAGACTCTGAGCTGTCAGCACAGAGCCTGATGGGGGGCTTGAACTTACAAACCATGATATCATGACCTGAGCTGAAGTTGGATGCTCAACCGACTGAGCCGCCCAGGCGCCCCCTTGTACAATTTTCAAATTAAGACCATTAGCTTAATAGAAAATGGGCCACTAACACTCCTCTGTCCACTGAAGCAATCCATGTGTTGGCCTCTATAGAAGTTTTTCTCTTATGTTTTATTTTTTATTAGCTATTGATAGAATTGCTGAAAATTTTGATATAAATAAAACATGGTCAGAAGTATGGACTAAAATACACTGAGTGGGAGGAGTGAACACATTAAACTACTTAAAACTTCATTACATGTTCCTTACTTTTGATTTCTCTCTGGCATGTTTAGTCTCAAATTCAGTTTTAAAGTCAGAGTTCTCAAATTGCACAAAAGTTTGGGACCTTTTCCTATTACCTCCCACTTACTGACATACATGATAAAATTGACCACTCTCCCTAATATTTTATGTGATTATAACACCTCTCTGATGGTAATATTTGTTGGTACTGGGCTGAGACTGAAGTCCTCTGGGGAGTCACTGGGGAAAGTGCATAAATAATCCAAAACCATAGAATATTCAGGATGGTTTGAATGTCGTGCTTTGCTTTATGAGTTAATGGATCCATAGTGAGTTGAACACACATATATGAGAGTACTATGAGAGAAGACGTTGTATGGATGGTTTATTATGTGTTTTTAAGTCTTTGAGTGGACATTTCTCATAATATGAACCTATATAGTGAGGCAACTATTATTTAATACATGTTCAGTTTTGTAACTTTGATATAGAGAACATTTAGAAAGTTAATACTCACTTTTTTTTTTTTTTTAGTTTATTTATTGGGAAAGAGAGAGAGGGGTGGGGAGGGAGAGAGAGCAAGTTGGGGAGGGGCAGAGAGAAAGAGAATCCCAAGCAGGCTGCCCAAAGCTGGTGCAGAGCCCTACACAGGGCTCGATCCCACCATCCACAAGATCATGACCTGAGCCGAAATCGAGAGTCAGATGCTCGACCAACTGAGGCACCCAGGCACCCTGAAAGTTAATGCTCATTTAACTAGCTGTTGAGCCTTGGGAAAAGTCACTTTGAGGCCTCGGTTGTAGTTGTACCTCTCTTACCAGGAAGACCTGGCTTATGGTGAAGAGTGGCATGCACAGCCTGGAAAATGCCCTAAATGAAAAATGCCACTGGTAGTAGGTTGGGAAGAAGATGTTGATGGTGCTGATAGGGTTTGTCTACAAGATGAGAGGGAGTTCAAAAGGCACTTGGTTTGAGGAATTAATTCCAAACAGAAGAAAACACAGAAGACTCAAAGGGATGTAGAGTGTTGTGGAAATAGCCGCTCTTCCAGAGTGACCGGGAGCAGGATGGAATCGGAGGTACAGACCAGACAGGAGAGAGCAGTGTGGTCAGCTTTTGAAGGATCCTTGGTACCATTACCATGGGCTCGCTTTTACTCTGAGGTAGGTAGGAAGGAGCGTTGGGGTGGGGGGTGAAACGGTCAGGTCTCTTGTAAAGGAATAGTAGGTCTTAACGGGCAGGAGGAGGTTGGGTCACCAATGAGGAGAGTCCAAATCAGGGAAACCAGGAGAAGGCTGTTGTAGGCACTCGTGCAAGAGGAAGGGAGAAACTTTACCTGGAGGGTGGCCATCAGAATGGAGAGCTCTGTCTGGAACAGAGACATTTTAGGTCACGTTGACTGGTTTAGAGATAAACCAGTGTGGAGCATGAGGGAGTGTATCTGATCCAGGGTGTCCTGCTGTTTCTGGCTTGAGTAAAGAGAGATGGTGCTAAAGATTATTAGGAGACATTCAGTTTTCATAGTAAGGCTTGAGTAAAGTTTGGATACTGGTAACTACAGAGGGTCCGTGGGACATTAAGCAGGACGTTGGACTTTTTGAGTCATTTACTTAGAGCTTGACCTGGATGTAAAGTCAAGCGCCCAGGGGATAGTTGAAGGAATGAGGGTCCTACATAGGGCAGAGCTGGAATTAGGGGGATGTGTTGATCAGTTTGGGGCATTGCTTTAAAAAGGCCGCAAAGCCTTGGAATAGGCCTCTCCTCCAGAGAGGAGGCCAAGGGTGGTATCCCAGAGCATGCTGACATTTGGGATGTGGACAGGCAAAGAAGAGTCTGCATGGTAGCCAGGTAGAGAACCAGGGAGGTTAGTCATGGAAGCCAAGGGAAGATTGGGGGGCAGGTGTGTTAAATGCGGTGATATGTTTATATAAACTTAGGAGCAAAAAGAGGTCCTGTCTTAGTCATTGGGGAATTTATTCTCTGATTTGTTAAAGGAAGCACTTAGAGCAAGTGATGCTTCTTAGAGCCCTTCAATTGTTTCTACAGACACGAGAGCTTGGTAGTTAAGGCTCTGGAGCTACGCACACCTGGGTTTGGGCCTCACCTCTGCCACTTCCTAATTGGGTGACTTGTGTAGGTGACTTAATCTCTTTAAGAATTGCTTTTCTCCACTGTGAAATGCAGCTTAAGTATGAGCTGGGAAGATTCAGTGGGACAACGCGTGGAAAATACTTGATGCGCAGTAGGAGATCAACAGATTTCACTGTCGCTGTCATCATTATTTAGATGGAAGAGCAGGATTTAGTCAGATATGGGAGCATCTGAGGGACCCTGGGCATGTGGATGAAAGCTTAGTAGTGCACAGGCTTTGGAGGAAGCGAGGCTAAACTATATCGAGGAAAATCCTCTGTTCTTTGAATTGAATGGAGTAGGTGTGGGTTGAGGAAGGACTCCTGATTCTTGCTAAGGTTCAGAAGCCGGAAATGGATGAGCATAGTTTTTGTTTGGATAGTGGAATATTTTCATCCTCCGAGGAGAATATTCAGTGGCAGAGAGACCCCAGAGTTCCTCAGCTAAGCTCACTGGCAATGACTACAGTTCTCCAGTTCTCCTGGACACTGGAGAACCTGTAGGTTAAACAGGTGTGTGTTTGTGTTTTATTTAAGTTTATTTATTTATTTGAGAGAGGCTGAGCCAGCACAATGGGGGAGGGGCAGAGAGAGGGAGACAGAATCCGAAGCAGGCTCCAGGCCCCGAGCCGTCAGCACAGAGCCCGACGCGGGGCTCGAACTCACAGACCACGAGATCATGACCCGAGCCGAAGTCGGCCGCTCAACGGACTGAGCCACCCAGGTGCCCCTAAATAGGTGTTTTCTTGAACGGGGCATTTATAGGGTGGGTTTTCTACTGATTGTGTAGGTAGCTGGTTATTACTGCAGGGAAACCTAGCGGGCATTTCAAAGATATTTTATTATTGTTCTGGATCTGCTGTCCCATTGCATACATGTTGACATCTGTCCTTTCTCATATCATTCTTGAGTTAATGTTGTTAATGTCTGTGTCAGATTACTCTCAATATGTATTCAGTTCAGCAAATCACTGCTCTTTCTAGGGAGTGATGTCAGTAAGAACACATCCGTTTGTGCCCTGTGCACAGTATGTTTATGCGGGTGAAATTAGATTTAAAGAGATGTCAGATCATGGCTTGAGGGAGAAAATGAGTCAGAAATAGGCAGCAGCAACCTAAGGGGTGTTGCTTAAGGAAGGATAGTTAGACTTGTCTTGATGAAATAGTGAGATTGGGCGTTTAGTTGCATGTCACAAGAAAAATGATTTCTTAAATTTTACATTCGCACTGCACTCAAGTCTTGTTACTCTCATTGTGTCGAAATGTCTTTATCCCCCTTTGTTCTGACCCGGAGTCATTTCAGTCTCTTCAGTGGCTCGGGGGGCGGGGGGCGGGGGGCAGAGGGCAACTCAGTCTGGAGGCAGTAGCTCTTTAATTGATTTGAATCTCTACTGGGGGAGAAACGCATCATGATAACCGAAGAATATATATTTTGATTCGTTTAAAAAAAAGAAGTGGAAATAATTTGATTTTTGGGCAGCCACTTGAAACCTGGAGGAATTCTAGGGAAATATGTGAAAGAATTTTTTTACCTCACAGCTCTGTGCCATACTTGTGATCTGCTTACGCTCAGTACTCGTGTCACGTTGTGAAAGTCAAAGAACTAAGGTCAAACCAGATTTGTCATAAGAAGTGGAAGTAAGGAGATGGCCAGAAGCGACATTTACTTTCGAGTAATTTAGGAACATGTCGGTCATCAGTGCCTTCTTCCCGAATGGATACGTCATCCTGCCTGTGCCCCAATCCGTTGACGGTTGTTGAATAGACACAGCTATAATTATAGCAATTGAACATGCAGTTTGGGGATGGGTTCTGTAATACCAGAGACCAATGGAGTTACCTTTAGTTTCCTCTTCACATTTAGACTTGTATGTGGAAGTAATTACCTAGGCATTCTCATGAGGGTATTAATAAAAACTCTTAGAACGAAGAGCAGACAGTGGCCCATACAGTTAAGTGGAACTGAATGGGGGAATGAGCTCCTACTCAAGCTAAACTAAATTCATAGTTTTCTTCATTCTTCTTGCTCATCTTATGTTTATGGATTGAATTCTGACATTACTCATGAAATATAGCATCACGATAGTTTTATTTTAAATTTCTTTAAAAAAGATTGTTTTATGTTTATTTTTTGAGAGAGAGAGAGAGAGAGAGAGAGAGAGTGTGTGTGTGTGTGTGTGTGTGTGTGTGTGTGTGTGTGTGTGGGAAGGGCAGGGAGAGAGGGAGACATAGAACCCGAAGCAGGCTCCAGGTTCCAAGCTGTCAGTACAGAGCCTGACGCAGGGCTTGAACTCACGAACCCTGAGATCATAACCTGAGCCCAAGTTGGAGGCTTAACCGACTGAGCCACCTAAGTG